ACTGTATGTGTATATGAAGGTTATCTGGGGCTAAAAGTTGGGAGTTATGTATCTACAAAGTTGGGAGTTATGTATCTACAAAGTTGGGAGTTATGTATCTACAAAATTGGGAGTTATGTATCTACAAAGTTGGGAGTTATGTATCTACAAAATTGGGAGTTATGTGTCTACAAAGTTGGGAGTTATGTATCTACAAAATTGGGAGTTATGTGTCTACAAAGTTGGGAGTTATGTATCTACAAAGTTGGGAGTTATGTGTCTACAAAGTTGGGAGTTATGTACCTACAAAGTTGGGAGTTATGTATCTACAAAGTTGGGAGTTATGTATCTACAATGTTGGGAGTTATGTGTCTACAAAGTTGGGAGTTATGTATCTACAAAGTTGGGAGTTATGTATCTACAAAGTTGGGAGTTATGTATCTACAAAGTTGGGAGTTATGTATCTACAAAGTTGGGAGTTATGTATCTACAAAGTCATTTGAGGTTGTTCATGTATCTAAATGCGTGCAGGTATTTTTAATTTTTGGATCTGGTATGTGAGTATGTGGGTGTCTGAGTGAGTGAGTGAGTGAGTGAGTTGGTGGATGGACGCTTGGCTGAGTCGCAGAGTAGAAGGGTATGGGAGGATGAATGTAGGCACGTGTCAGTGTACAAGTATCCCAAGCAATGCAGTGCTTTGTTTTCTGTTGATTTGACATTTTAGCAACATATGCTTTTAATGTGTACTTTATGTTTTAATTTGTGTTCCATGGGCAGTGCTGGCCGGACAGTGTACAGTATTGTTTTCTCATATTTTCATGACTTTGCACCGTGAGACTCTTAAATAAACAACATTTGCTTTCTCTTTCTTTCTGTTTTGTCACCAAGGCGTCAAATCTGGAAATTTGCTCTACATATCCATCATAAATCTTGTTGAGGGTTTTGCTGCCACAGTGAATCTTGTAAGCGCCATATGATGCCTGTTTAGACGCCGTTCGATCCAGGTTACAACATTTAAGGCCTCAGTAAATCTTTCAAAATGTTTTATGGTAGACATTTCATATCACATTTCCAAATTTGATGCATCAGTGACAAAAATGATGTCCGATGCAATTCCGTATTTTGACTTGTACCATACTTTCTCTCGTGTGTGTTTTTTTGTCACGTGAACAATTGTTTGTGACACACACACCCGGTGGGGCAGGATACGCTGAGCTTTCAGGACATCGCCAGTTGTATCATCACTATTGGATAGGGATTCCTTAACACGTGTTCATGATAAAGTAGAAAATGTACAGTCCACTGTGCTTATAGCAGAGATTTCTTGTGGATGTGGACAGGGTTTTGTCGATGTAGTATTCTCATAAGAAGGGTGACTTTCACATAAACACTTTACAAACTGCAGTATTTATGCCAGGAAGTTTAAACACAACTAAACAAACTCTATCACTCTCACCCTTTGGTGCTTTAACAGGTTGTTTCGAAACCTATGACGTCTGCTCTGCTCTCTCTCTCTCTCTCTCTCTCTCTCTCTCTCTCTCTCTCTCTCTCTCTCTCTCTCTCTCTCTCTCTCTCTCTCTCTCTCTCTCTCTCTCTCTCTCTCTCTCTCTGTGCTTATATGTGGTCAATTGTGCATACATATGGTGAACTTTGCATGTGGTTAACGGTAAATGTATATGCCTGATCCTTTTCTCAATCCTCGCGAGGGTAGATCATACAATTCTCCCAAATATCTTCTCAATAGACTACGACGCACCCAGTACAAAGAACTTCAGTGAAATTTTAAACGAACGTCATTCACTGGTCAGCAGCGTATAAACTTTAAACTTCTCTATGTTGCCTCTCAGATCCACTGCCTATATTCCATTATCTCTGTCACCGGCCACACTCCAACATCTCTCGATTCAGAATCACAACGTCTACTTAAATTTTGCCGTTACGGACAGCGACCTTTCTGCCATGCAGCAACATCAACGGAGCAATCTTCCCCTTCACGACACTGCAGCCTCCAGAGCTCCCCTTCCCTCTCTTCCCCAAGCTTTAGTGAACTTGTCTCTGTGTGCGCTGTGAACATGATACCCAACATGAGTAAATATGGTTTTACGCCGCTTTTAGCTATATTCCAGCAATATCACGGCGGGGGATACCAGAAATGGGCTTCACACATTGTACCAATGTGGGGAATGGAACCCGGGCCTTCGGTGTGACGAGGCAACGCTTTAACCACTAGGCCATCCCACCACCCCGATACCCAACATGAATAAGCACCATGAAGATGGATGAGTGAGTGAGTTTTGGTTTTACTCCGCTTTTAGCAATATTCCAGCAATATCACGACGGGGGACACCAGAAATGGGCTTCACTCATTGTACCCATCACGGGAATCGAACCCGGGTCTTCAGCGTGACGTAAAGATAGATGAAGATGATGATGATGATGATGACGACGACGACGATGGGGATCGCTGTTTGTGCTTTACACTGTGACTAGTTCTGTGACACCAAAGAGAGGAAGTCATGACGTTTTCAGGTTAGTAGATTCAAGAATTAAGAAAGGCGCCCAGGAAATATAGTACTGTTCACCTTTCAGCCATGTTAACAGATGTGAACTGGGTCGCAAACCATACAACAGATGGCAAAAGAAAAGATACATATAGTCAATTCACCAATAGAATCCTCCCCACACATGGCACAGACTCGGGTCGTGATTTCCGATGATACAACTAATAATTCATTATTGTCATGAATAGCAGAACTTACAACTTTACAGTGAAATGCATAATCGAGTAGGCTACCTCCTACTACCCACCAAACAAAAGACTGGGTGTACTAAAATGCACCGAAACAATATTTATTGGAGGGATGAACACCAGTGGAATTGATTGATTAATAATGCATAATGTCTCAATGATACCGAGATTCCACTATAACCTATGCCCCCGGCGCCTATATTGCCTTACCTACACCTCAGCTTTAAACACATTGGCTAATGCCTTTGATCTTTCGATAACTAGTAAAGTTGTAAAATTGTTTGCACATTTTCTCAAATACAAGGGATGTTACACAAATTAACAAAGGGGTAAAATAATTTTAGTATAATTATACCCCCTAATTCCCCGCGTCCATGTCCCTCCTCTGTAGTATAATTGCCCCCCTATTACCATGATCTTCCTAATTCGCTCACAACTATCTCCGCCTGTTTGTCTGTATATCATAAACAAGGGGGAACACACAATCGGCCCACATCTATCGAATTAACATCTACATGTTCCCCTTTGATAAGCATTCAAGGTTTTACGATGTTGTTCCAGTTAAACAGATTTTCTCTCGCTTCATTGCGGACGTGTAGTGTGTTATTTTAATGGCGGTCGATGGGGCTGGGAGACAATGGCCGTGGTCAAGTCACCCGGCCTAATTTCATTGGATTACCGAGGACGCAGCTGATCGCCACACAAACCCGTCACTGACATATTGTAGTAAGTCTAATTCCATTGTTAGACAATTGATGGCCCCAATCACCAACAATCACAATCCCCTCAATCTCTGATTGCTGCTGGGACGGTAGAGCTTCTTCTGAAACACGACTGTCGTCTGCTCGGGAATTTGTCTGGGGGGTATTTCGCGCGGTAAAATCAAGGCGTTCTCTCACAATATTACCTCAAAACAACCACCCCTCCTTCGGGACTCAAAACAGTTATGTTCCTTAAAACAACTTTCTTTGGTCGTCTGATGGCCCGTCGGGTAATATTTCTGCAGGGTTTGCCCCATCGTCTCGCTCATCAGCCCGAGAATCAAGCACACCGCCCAGACTGATGTCTCGTACGGGATAATATTTATACCTGAACATATTCCTTTTAGAATTATACAGAATTCAGAATTATATACACCACATCTAACAACAAAATAACGATAACATCGTCTTCCCAGTCAAAATGTGCACCCAGAGCCACACTTAGGAAATACATGACTTACAGATATTCACTATTTGTTTTGTTACTTTACAGTTTTGAAATTCATCTAATCATCATTTTATGAACCTCGGATCTTTCCGTTCACTGACATCTATTGGTATCATGATGCGGCAAGGGTGTATTTTCTATAAAATCTGACAGAAAATCAATCCATATTTTGGCTTGTTTTATTAGTGAATATAGACACCTGATGAAGGGGCAAGTATTAGCCCAGAAACATCGTATGTTAATAATAAAGAAGTTGCACATCCATATCAAGGTGTCTTGTGTTACCCTACCAACTTCTAAATGCCTATCAAACATCTATAGACATATACCTGTAAAGTCAACACCTAATATGACAATGTTTGTAGAGAGAGAGAGAGAGAGAGAGAGAGAGAGAGAGAGAGAGAGAGAGAGAGAGAGAGAGAGAGAGAGTTAACATCAAAGGGTGTTTTTTACTCAGTCAGTTCTGACAGATACATAGTCGGCCAAGATATGATCAGATGTATATTAAATGAAATCCGCCATTCCCTATGTTGCAGTTGTACCTACAAGGGTAGACGCTTACTTATATCTGTCATACCGCACTCCAAAAAGATTAATTGACAAGTCTGTTTCTAACGCTTCCTTTGTTGAAATGAGTGAATTCAGAACACCTTGAATTGTTTGTAAGCTTTTCTAAATACATCGTTTATATCTATTATAAAAATTACAGACCACACTCAGAGCAATATTTATTTCAAATATTGAATTCATATTTTTTTCTGCAAAAACGCAAACTAACATATTTATTCTTTGTTTGTAAAGCATACTGCAATGAAAACAAATCTTGAGACAAACAATCTGACGACGGGTAGTTTACTTACATAATATATTCACGGACGGTGATGTCTGCCGCATCTACAATGTCTCCCACCTAATTGGTCGAAATTGTCCCCGCCCCCTCAATCAATGCGGCCGGCTCGTCATACGCCAGTCGCTGATCATCTTAGCTCCGCCCTATTAAATTATTACCTGTCAATCAAATCAACTGTCCCCAGCGACCTTTTAGAGGGCGAGAGTTTGAGGAAGAATTCATTGTCCATTGAGAGTAAGCAGCTATTTGTACCCTCTCAGCTAGTCACTACACAAGCAGCTATTTGATGCAACTCGAGCGCAAAATTCGACATCTTTGTGGACTAAGTCAGAGTGTACCAGTGCTTGCGTGACGTGCTACATACATAGCAGGAGACTCAAGGCCCAGCCGACAGGTGAACTTCACACCTTTGACAAGGGACATACGTATATAGATATATATGGCACGGTAGACATACCGAGATCATACGCTAGTGCCAACACTTGTGATCATATCTCCGGTTGTTGAGGACAATTTGACAGTGTGTCGGTATATTCCTGGAACTTTTAAAAAAACTTTCGAAACGACTGCGATATTGTGGGATCGCTGGGCAGCATCATCGACGGCAATGCACACCATGTCAGACCCCAACTACATCGATGTTGAACGTACTGACGAAAGGTATCGCACTCCTTGTGATCCTGACAAGTTTTCGGCCGAAATGGACGGCGGGGCTTGCAAAAGCGCCAACAGCAGTCTCAACGACAGCGGTGCTAGCGTCGACACAACCTCTACTGTAACATCAGATGAAGAAAGACGACACCACGACGACGACATCAAGATGACATCATCAAGTGAAGATGAGCACATCGTAAGAAGTCCAGCTAGCAATAAAGGTAAACAAATATGTTTTATCTATTTCTTAATAGCGCAAATATATATAACTGGCCAAATACTGATTTCGAAACACGTCTGGGAAATTATACCAAACAATTAAAAAAAGGTGTATTAATAAATTAAAAAGATTGTACGATGTTTTCAAAGATCATTAAACAGCACAAGTCATTTGTTGGTGAAAACGCGATAAAGAACGCTATGTCCTTGGTGCAGCTACCACCAATAAAAATCATATCACTCAGATCATGGTCTTATTTTAGCATTGAAAGGCAGTTAATAAACTTGCAGGTTGACTTGGCAGTTACCATCAATATATACCCTATTAGTATCATCCACTTCAACACTTGACTGCTTGCTGTAAATGTAGTTGAGCCGGTTATCTCTGCATCAGTTACAGGTAACTAACGAAATAATTGTAAAACCTGCTGAAAACAATATTTCGTATATTTATGAATTGATTTTTTAATACATTGAAAAGAAACTATGTAGAAACTACGTAATACTCGCAATTCTTGTCAAACATCATGTTTCACTTACGTACTTATTTGGTTCGTCGGTTTCTGGTTTAATTAATTTTCATGACTATACCAAATAATCAGTTAATTAGTAAAGAAAAAGCCCATAAAAGAAATTAATATTTAATCATATGGATTCAAATAGAAGAAAATAAAAACCATGCTCATCATACCAAGCTGAAGCTATATGTGTGACGTCTTTATCTACAGGGAGGAAGATATTTTCATAGGCGAATGATTTCTAATATCACGGGCAACTTAGTGCTTATTTAATTCTTTCACGCTCTGTTGGGTATTTTCATCCCGACTTTACTTTTTCTTAACTGTCATGCTAACATGCTAACATGTTAGCGTCTTGCTGGAGCAGCTGTGTAACGATGGAAATATATAATGAGCATCGCAACATGACAAACATTGTAGAAATCATCTGATGTTGTAATTATCTCACATTGTACAAGTAAAGCATCAGATGATAGATAGACTTATCTACCTGTTCGGGGTTTTCTTTTACCTGGTAACTCATGTTAACATAGAGTAGGTTGAATGCACAGGTAAAAAGGCTGTAGGAAATAATTACGATACTTATTAACTAAAAGGAAATATATTCTGACTCATAGAACAGCCGATCCATGTATTTGTTGATGGATATAAGTATGTGTTTACGGTCTCTTAACCCATGCAGTGCTTTCTGTATGCTTATGTATAAGTTTGTTTTACTCTGTGTGTTTTAACACGAGGCACTAATGATACACCTTATCCCATATTCATAAATTAAGCTAAATAATCTTGAATAAAATATTTTCTTTCATATAATTTCAGTACAGTTTTTCTATAAGTTTATTTTTAAGCATCTTTATTTGTTTTAAAATATTACAAAAGTTTCAAACCCTCTCTCTCTCAAACACAACTAAATAAAACACATCCATATTTTATAACAAATACGAAAAAACCTAATACACCCCGAAAATTACTTGTTTTCATTTTAGACAGGAACGTACCAAAAAGGTATGTTAGAAAAGCAAGAGTATCTATTTTAGCATATTGGCTTCATTATTTTTCTTGATGCAGAAACACGTAATTACATGATGCTACTTAAATGTGTTCATTGTTCGACAATGAAGCTTTGTCCTTATCAAAAAACAATCCTAATTAGTGGACAATTGACGTCCTCTCCGACATAAGGACACTTTGTCTTACATCAAAATACACATACATCCGTAAGACCTACCCGCACGTGCTGTATCCGGTATCACGTGATTTATTGACCAGATTAGCCCACTGGGCACTGGTCATCTTGACAAACATGAAGTAGCCATTGTGTTGCGTTTATCCAACCCCCGGGTTAATTCACCCAAACACTCGTCCTTTGTCCAGCCGCCAGAATACGCAAATACCACCAGACAATCATCCAAACTCACAGATATCACATTTGATACATTTATAATTTTAGCGAGTTTATTATTTGAAACTCGCGACAGCTGAAAATGTTATGGATGCCGTTGTAATAATAATTATTATTCACAACGGCATCCGTAACATTTTACTGAGAGAAATTACAATCAAAAAGTTTTGGAATTGAGTTCGTTCATATCTGCGTTCTCCCTTTAGAGATTCGCTGTATGAACAAAACTAAAAACTAACACATTGTTGTGTAATTTCAAATACAGTAATTTACAATATTTAAAGCAAGATATCACCGTTCACTGATGGAAACCCTATGTAGATTCAGATATAAGTATTTCATTTATTTCAAATATCTATGTTATACAAGTTCACTTAAACATATTGTGTAACACACAGCCACGTATATGCATATACAAGTGATAGGCTGAAATACATACTCCTGCAGTACCAACTCACAACCAGCTGGGGATTCTGTCTCACCAGCTAATTTCCGTTAGTTATTTCCTGAGTGGAGTATTTAGTTTGTAAATACAATATGTTCTATAGAAGAAAAAGAAGGAAACTTGTTTATTAATTTGTGTATCACAATTTACAATAATGAGAAGGAGTACATACTCATGTAAGAATACACACAATATCTTTACAACTGACATCGCTATACTGGCTTTGTGTGTCCTCTTTAGGGGATCAATTATTTTCAATTAAGACAACTAAATATATGTTTACTGCTTTGATATGACCGGAAGGCACTGGAAAACAGAGAGAAATGAAGATAATGTAGAATGTTAGAGACAGGAGACTTGACAAAACTCTTCATTAAACTCTTCCACATCAAAAACAGTTAAAGAAACTACAATCTTACCATGGCTAGTTCACAGCTCAGGTACAATGGTGTATGTTTTCAGGATCACACAGAATACATACTTCCACGCATATTGATAAAACCTATATCAGCAACATATATATTCAGCCGCAAACAGTCAACGAAAAAAGAACAATTCCCAAGAAAAACATCCTTCGTAAAAATATGCAAACGATTGGATAATTTTACAAAACGTGATGTGTACATGTATTTGAGAAACATAGATAAATTGACTTTATAAATCGTGTAAATACCTCGTTATATCGCTTAGTTTTTGTCTATCGTAACATTTCTGCTTTCTTCTTAAAGTTAAAGTTTTATGTAATTCAATATAAAAATTATTATATATTTTCTTTAAAGGCAATCGTTACGAATGTCTTATACGGAACAGAGCTGATGTTACCCAAAGTCTAAAATACATTATTGTCAGAAAATACAAAATGCATAAGAACATTTCCTGAAGGATCATTTTCCCCGAACGCTATAATCATTTCATTGATATCCAACAACCTAATATCAAACTTTAGTTTTCCACTCTCTGATTTCAATGCACAAAAGCAGTTTCTTAGCGAAATAATAAAATGACTTTGGTAACCATTTTCAATATTCAATTCCATCTTTACAAATGTGTTTGTTTAGTGGAATTTCCGTAACTGTGTAAATGGCTCGTCAATTTAACTCCAGATTGTCACACCCATCACAAGCCAAACATGCTCTAAATTGTAATTACAGAATGTCTGAGATTAATTAGACAATCTGTGGTCGCCTGCCGTCACCTACAGACAGTAATTAGCGTGATCTTTACCTATCCCTCATCGCCTTCACAAGGCGTCGCCAAAAGTTAACACGTGCGGTAAAGATTAAAGATCTACGGATTAGGAGTATCTGAATACACAGAGCCAGATTCCCCTTGTCTAGGTGCTATGTAATCCAATGAATCTGCAATCACCCTCTAGACAAACATAATTATTGGATTATACTTGTAAGAGCGTCTCAAAACACGGGGAATACCATCTGTTGGAACGTGATGTTCTTGGAACTTCCTTGATACAAACCTGTTAATTGTTTCACACAACACCCTGTTTTATTATCAGTTTGGCTATTTTAAAATGTCCATTCGCTAAAATGGTATATGTGATTTTTTTCATTATCAGTTTGGCTATTTTAAATTCCCAGTTGCTAATATGATATATGCGTGTGTCAACACATAGATACGACTATTTTCGTTTCGCTACTGTGAAGATGTATCATCTGGAAGGAAATACTGATTGTAGTGGGCGATCTGTAAGTTATTTACTGTTGTTTAACGACTATTTTAGTCCTAAATCTATCACACCTATACACACCTATACATAACTATGGCAACAGATTTGGAGAAATGGGCATAATTATGAGAACCAGGTTCGCTAGGTCTATTACTCACATTCCCCATCCCACGAAGTAATGAATGAATAAAAAAATATTACTTTACACCTTATCCGTGACAACCATAGAACAAAGCCCAATACAAATGTGGCCGTTTTCTAGAAAGTAACAAGAAATCGTTCCCCTTAAATTTTGACCTATGCGCTTTTTATTACGAACTTGTTATCACTGTTTATAAAGGAGTGCTTAAAAATAGTATACCACTGTTGACAAATAAAGCCATTTCAGTACATTTTATTAAACTGTATAAACAGTTGTCTTCGCTTTGATGGCATACATCGATACAAGATGTGTGACTCTTTACCCAGGACAGATCGGAGGGATCTCCGTGGGTCGGAGTTGGGGAAGTTTTCACACAGTTAGGAAGATTTCTCCCTGTGCGGTTTCGTACGTCTCAGGATGTAAGCCAGCGATTTGTCCCTCACCCCGGGTATCCCCGACCCCATAAACCGCAACCGCTTCCTTAATAAAACTGGCGATTACTGGCACCGATAGGCACCAATATGGCGATACATACAATGAAACAAGCTGATGGGAATACGACTTGGTGATTGTCAAGGACCCTTCTCCCCTTAGATGTAAACAGACACCTATGGTCGGCCCTTTGATGTTGAAGACGGCTATCTGTAATATCCGAATATGCGTGTTTTACAATCTTTGGGGAACGGTAACCAATGGGTGGTCAGAAATGGTGTCACGTGATACGATTTGCGACATGACGAACGTGCTAATTGATTACCTAACTATTAACAACTGAAATTGCCACCAGATGGCGCAGGGTAGCGGTCAGGGTGGCGGGAAGGAAGTGACAAGGCAATGTAAGGGCTATATATCCCGAGCCATCCTCCTGAAGAGGTCACTTCAACTTCACCTGTCAAAACGGGATCCGGCCATGGTGCACTTCGGTAATTAGCAGCGCTGTCAGACTTGATATTGTCTTGTCATAAACGTGTCTATAGGTGGCCATAAGCGAGGCTATCACTGGAGGTGTCACAAACATAGCTTCCGTTCACACCCAGCACCACTCCCAACACGCCACTTTACTTATAGCAGTATCAGGCTGCCATAGCTACTCACTTATTTGTCGTATTCCGATTTGAGAACAACGGTGTGAGCTCACCTGTCTGTAGAAGTAGAGAGGCCATGGCGAGAGGTATACACCTGTCTGTAGAAGTAGAGAGGCCATGGCGAGAGGTATACACCTGTCTGTAGAAGTAGAGAGGCCATGGCGAGAGGTATACACCTGTCTGTAGAAGTAGAGAGGCCATGGCGAGAGGTATACACTGGCCACGTTCGCCTCATTATACAACATGCTGATTGGGATTCTTGATTACTAATGATGTGACTTTGCTTTCAGACACTGCTTTGGACGACAACGGGGTTCGTCGGTACCGTACAGCGTTCACGAGGGAGCAAATCGGTCGTTTAGAGAAGGAGTTCCTCAAAGAAAACTACGTCTCACGTCCAAAGCGTTGTGAACTGGCCGCGTCCCTCAACTTGCCTGAGAGTACCATTAAGGTGAGACCCAATTACCATGTCATATCTATGCTTACGCAATGTCCACTGTAATCGACTTGCCATTTCATATTTATTCTTGTACAATATCTATAGTCACCGCCTGACATGTGATATTTAGCCCTATAGTGTTTGCAGCCACCGACTTTGTGGGCTGCTATACAACCTTGTTTGGTCTGACACCGTCATGCTCGTAAATAAGTACACATGCTTCTTTCCAGACCACGAACTGATGCTATAACATATTTGTCACTCTCATTATGTCTGTTGAAGTGATTTGTTGCTGCATTCTCATCGTGGTCTCTTCTTTGTTCAGGTGTGGTTCCAGAACAGGCGAATGAAGGACAAGCGACAACGTATGGCTATGGCCTGGCCCTACGGCATTGCTGACCCAAACATCTACGCCTACATCGCTGCTGCTGCTGCATCATACCCATACGGCATCGCGGCTGCCGGAGCTCCCTTCGGCTGCTACTCCGGAATGGGCTTGCAGCGCCCCCAGGCGGGTCTTGCCCAGCTCCCTATGACAGCAGGACTTCGGCCAGGAGCAGAGTATTTCAACAATCTGACAAACTCCTTCCTTCGACCCTCAACGATGGTGGTACCCCATACCGTCCATTCGCCCCCTACAGTTCGGTCGCCGTTAGACCCAACAGCTCTTATGGGTCACAGTGCTCCCTCCACCCCCTCAACTCCCCCTTCGGACTCTTTGTGCTCTAGCCCATTTCCCTCAACACCTACACTACACAAACCCTCCCCTGTGTCAACGAAGAGCAACAGCTCTACAGCTCCCAATGGGCTCTTCCGACCATTCCAGTCTGAAGTTGAGCGGACGTAGCTCTCCGTCATCACGACATCAGATGATGTCACAAAGACATATATTACATATGGGACTTGGAGAACTCAAGTATTGTGCTGAGGTTGAGTTGTCTCCCTTATGTGGTTGAGTTGTCTCCCGTGTGAAAAAGCCGCCCTGCAGAACGTCACGGGGCGTCACGATTGTGCTCATGCCACCACTGAGGGAACTACGGTTGGACACTGTGTGCTGTTATTGTTGATATTGCCTCGTCTCAGTGGGCGGAGATGACAGCGTCACATGCCGTCACAGACGCACGGAGTGCGTTACACTCACGCGCATTAGGTGGACACGGGTATTCTGCGCACACAACTGAACTTACTCAAGACGACGCGATTGTCTCATTCCCTATACTCACTTTGTCAAAATATGTTGTTTTTATGTAAATATCGGAGAGAGATTTATGATTGTTTTTGTTTGTACATACTATATATTCTTCAGTTTTGGAGAGTAAGAAATAAAACTGTCTATGCGAAAACGTGTTGCTGTTGTACTTATCTTGACGCGTATCTGTTCTTAAGAACTGTTGTTAAAAGGTGTTGAGTTTATGAAGGTATGAACAGCTCCAGCAGCAGGTGACTGATCAGTGTTTCTGTTGTACTCCTGAAGGTGGTGCATGTGCGGCTGATCTGAGTGGTTCTTGTACCTTTATCAAGGGCTAACTGTCATATACGCAAACTGACACATAGCTACTGAATTTAAAACAACAACAAAACATATATGTTATTTAACGGGTAATAGGTTCATTTTTACAAACAAGTAAACGACATTTGTATGGAAAACAACTTCTTGCACATTATAATATGATAGTAATGTTTGTGATCTGCTATCATGCAAGTAACCCTGCCATTTTCTGTTTAACATCGCTACAAAAATCTATGTCGCATCAGAACGTATCTCCCAGAGTGGTTCAACTAACAGGGGAGTTCCTGTATCTCCCAGAGTGGTTCAACTAACAGGGGAGGTCCTGTAACTGCCAGCGTGGTTGATGCATCACTTACAAGGGAGTTCCTGTAACTCCCAGAGTGGTTGATGTTCCACTAACAAGGGAGCTCCTGTAGCTCCTGAGTAGTGGTGCCTCGACCACCGAAAGTAATTTTTTCGTGTGTCATTGTTAGGGGTGTTTCTTTGTTTCTTGCGGAAACATTGACTGAACACTGCACGATTCTTCCGTTTATTGTGACTGCACAGACACACCCTAATGAACATATACTGTAGGTGTAGTGAACAGTGAGGAATTTGCCTCACCGACGTTGCCACCAATGTTGTATTGCACAGAATACTGATACGTATGTCGTATTAACGAGTTGGAAACATAAATATCTCACTGATGACCCCACGGTGGATGTGTCATTCACATGAAGATGAAAGGCCAACTTCACGTTTGCTCTATCATGTTGTCGCCTATGTACTTCATTTTGTCGGTGTGACTGAAAACTAGTGATATGTATTCCGAAAGTGGAAAACACAGGTTGTTTGTAAAATATAAGTGTAAAACGTTTAAGATAAAACTAAGGGATGTTAATATGTTAAGTGTGGTTGTGGTATGATGGGGGTCCTTGTTACACAGAGGGCGATGGGCGTACCACCCATATCGGTACATGGTCCACTGATCAGTGTGATTGTTGTACATCCTATGGCGGTACATGGTCCACTGATAAGTGTGGGTCTTATACACCCAATGGCGGTGCGTGGTCCACTGATAAGTGTGGGTGTTGTACATCCTGTGGTGGTACATGGTCCACTGATAAGTGTAGTTGTACATCCTATGGCGGTACGTGGTCCACTGATAAGTGTGGTTGTTGTACATCCTGTGGTGGTACATGGTCCACTGATAAGTGTGGTTGTTGTACATCCTGTGGTGGTACATGGTCCACTGATAAGTGTGGTTGTTGTACATCCTGTGGTGGTACATGGTCCACTGATAAGTGTGGTTGTTGTACATCTTGTGTGTGGTGGTACGGTACATGGTCCACTGATAAGTGTGGTTGTTGTACATCCTGTGGTGGTACATGGTCCACTGATAAGTGTGGTTGTTGTTCATCCTGTGGTGGTACATGGTCCACTGATAAGTGTGATTGTTGTACATCCTGTGGTGGTACATGGTCCACTGATAAGTGTGGTTGTTGTACATCCTGTGGTGGTACATGGTCCACTGATAAGTGTGATTGTTGTACATCCTGTGGTGGTACATGGTCCACTGATAAGTGTGGTTGTTGTACATCCTGTGGTGGTACATGGTCCACTGATAAGTGTGATTGTTGTACATCCTGTGGTGGTACATGGTCCACTGATAAGTGTGGTTGTTGTACATCCTGTGGTGGTACATGGTCCACTGATAAGTGTGATTGTTGTACATCCTGTGGTGGTACATGGTCCACTGATCAGTGTGATTGTTGTACATCCTGTGGTGGTACATGGTCCACTGATAATGTGATTGTGTGGTCCACTGTTGTACATGGTGGTACATGGTCCACTGATAAGTGTGGTTGTTGGTACATCCTGTGGTGGTACATGGTCCACTGATAAGTGTGGTTGTTGTACATCCTGTGGTGGTACATGGTACATGGTCCCATTGAACACTGATAGTGTGGTTGTTGTACATCCTGTGGTGGTGGTCCACATAAGTGTGGCCCCCGTGGTCCATGATAAGTGTGGTTGTTGTAAACTGTTGGTACATGGCGCTGATAAGTGTGATTGTTGCTGTGGTGGATAGACGCCTGTGGTGGTAAATCTCCATAAGTGGGTTGATGGTTCATGCCCCATTGCGTGTATGTACATCCTGTGGTGGTCGTCCACTGAAATCGTGATGGCGGAATTTCCACTGATAAGTGTGGTTGTTGTACACAACATTGAACACGTATCAGTGACGACCAAAGTCAACTCCAGGCGCTGCAAAATGTTCCATCTTATTCTCGTCGACAAATCGTCGGAATTTCAAGATGTATGTTCCATCTTACCCAAATCGTCTTTCAAGATGTTTGGCTGTCAAAACATCTACTGTCATACTTCCATAAGCCTACTGTTTACAAGAAAATATTACAAGGCATAAATGTATATACGTCTCACTCACCCTACGCGTTTTAAAACACGTTAAAACATGTATGTGTTCCACAGCAAGTGCATCACGAATTCTTGTCCGAGTGATGAACTATAATTCCAAAAGATCGAGCATATCTATATATTCTTTATATCCATAGAAAGTAATCCAGACAAGTGGAATTATCACCATACGGAATATCCAACATGTTAAAAAAGTCTCAAGTCTGATTTTTTAAACGCGTACGCACACGAAATGGTTTAGGACTAGTGTAACCCCTTGACGCAAGGGCATTTGTCGCTAATCCAAATAGTTATATATTTATTGTTATCGTTAAGAATGCGAATGCCATCTGACGTTTACTGAGAAGACAGCTATATGTTGTCAATATCTATCTGTCTATCTACATCGATCTGGTCAATTTCTATGTGAAATTATGCCAGAAGAAGAATTCAAGGGATTACCACACTATTATGCAACCCGTGCCTCTGACAAGTTGCTGACGTAGAACGACGGTGTAGAACCCCTGGAAGCATTACTATCTTGCACGTGGCCTGGACGATGTTTAGATGTGAGGTTTATATTCACTCATAACAAACAGGCATGTCTTTTAACTGAACTTGGGGCTTAAAATGAATTGTCTCCTATATTTGAGTACATTCTGTTCCCCAACAGGCGGGGTCACTAAAACACGCTCATTGTGTGGGACGGCCTGGCAACCTGCCACGCCCACCTACTGAGACGGACACCACGTGAAGTTTAACATACATGATATGTACTCACGGCATATTTGGACCATGTGAATTTTTAATACATATCATGTCAAGTATACATAACAAAATATACTCGTGTTAATGCTAAATATAAAAAAAGTATACAATCTCATTTACATCTCCCAAAAAGTTAGTGTGCTTGATGTATGTACATTGTTTTATTCTGGCGTACAGCAAGGCTGTTCAAGTCAACACATATGTGTGTGTGAATCCGCACGGGCGACAGCTGTCGCCTACAGATAGGAGATCGATAGATAGCAGTGCTTGTCTGTATTTGTTGAAGTTATATCTGCTAAACATGCCCCTGTCTCGAGGACACACGTATGTACAATATAGAGGAATATTTTATAATATTACCATGACATATCCCTCATTTAAACACGTATAAGGATTAAATTAGACCAGCCATTTGAAAATCATAGGGAGTGTGTGAGAGGTGTGTGCGTGCCTAAATCATTCAGGAGAGTCGTCATTGAACTTGCTGGATTGCAAAATAGCTGTTTCTTAAAGAAATGTTCATTACTTCTCGAACACTTAGTTTCATCATTATTTTCAGTGATCTATTCGGATATTTTTCATCGCATTTTTTTACTTTTGTGCCCAATGGAATCTGTTTCTATGGATAATCGACACTGGGTATTCTTTAGCGGTTTATGTTATACAGAAAACAATTGAATGTCCATAAGTCGTGAAAGTATTTTTTTTCTAACAGAAAATAAAACCTCAGCCACTTATCCGGAAGGTTAAATGCTGGCCCCCATAATGCATCACTCCGACTGTGAGTGATGACATCACAGATACCGTAAGCAGACAGATAAAATGATGTCATAATTTAACAACTGTATCATAAGTTAAGTACAACACTCGCCAGGAGTTGAGAGGTGGTGTAATAGGCTGCTTGTACACTTAGTTTAATAGATTGATGGGGTATAGCAGCGTACGCTGTCAATTAACGTCATTCAGTGTCTTCACGGTCCGTCCAGTGGAAGCCGGATTGTGATAAGGTGTCCGTTGTTTACCTGGTGTAGATTCCGTTCCCCGTTGTCACACCAAAACATTCGTCCATGAAGTCATTCTCGCCATTAAGCTCAGCCTCATCAAGCTTGTTCAAATTTACAACCTGCACAAAGGCAAATACATTGTTCATTCTCAGCAAAATTCATATAATATATTTAACAAAGAATTTTTTTCTCTTTGAACATTTTTAATACACATTTCGTGTGATATACATCAGAAGCGTGCAAATTCTGTATGGCATTTTTTTCGGGTCGCCATCCACCAAATATGTAAAGAGTAAAGCAAACAGAATTAATCACTCGGTGGACGTGGTGAAATCTATTAACTTCATCTTAATAAAAATAACATCTGTCTACGTACTCTGGCTTTACATGCGTCTTTTTGCTGACATATCACGCAAAGTTACAGTTCAGAAATTAGGAATTCCTTGAAGAACATACATTAGCATAAATATGGTATGATCCAGAAGACGAATCGATGTATCTTTGGGGTGATCATTCAACAATCTTGTACCCAATACAAAACTCATTTATCACAAAAATAACAATCCTTTAAACCTTATCAGAATTTTGTCAACACGAATAATGTTCAACTATCCACAACATTCAAACATATATAAAAGCACCTCACTGAATTTTATAAGTTAAC